TACAACTCAAAGCATGCCTGACCTTGATAAACGACAGCTTGTTCTTGACGAAATGGCTAATGATCCCAATGGTAAGCGAGGTCTGCGGGTCATCAAGGAGATTCTGGCTCTTCAACACAATGTTCATCTGACCAGGTGGGTGAGCCATATCCTTCTTACGCTTTTCTGCAACTGAGAGCTTGTGGTGTAGGGACTTTATTGAAGCAACAATGCGGGAGGAGGATCCAGATGGCTTTAAATCACGCGATCCCACTGCAAAAAAGATCAAGTGTTCTGTTCTCGTTTGTTTGGGACCTCATCATGAATGGAGTGGTGATGGACATGATAAGTTGACAGCTATTGGGTTCCCAATATGGGGCATGCATGATGTGTGGTCAGGGAAATGGCTAGGCCTATGGGTTGTCCCCAACAATAGGTTGAAGGAAACTATTGGGTACCTGTTCCTTAAGCTTGTTCATGAGTATGGTGGTGAGTTTTATTGCTATGCGCATTTGCCCCATTGTTGAACAAAGGAACGGACAGGGATACCTATTCAAATGACAACTGATTGTGGCTCAGAGCTTGTGACTGTCTATGGCTTTGCAAATGTGCTCAGGTAGCAGTGTTACATTTCAGATACCTAATGTGTGCTTATTCTTGTTTTGTAGAGAAGAGTTTGCATCTGATCTTCCTATCAATGCTCTCCCTCCTCACAAATTCCTTCAAAGCATTCACAATATCACAATTGAGTGTGGTTGGCTACGTCTCCGTCTTGATTGGGGTGAAAATGTCAAGATCTTCTGGGACGCTGGGTCAGGAATTTATAATTCCTCAGATATGCGGCATGAGTGAGTTCCACCTATGTTGTTGAGAAACTGCAACTAACTACATGCAGCTCACTTGTAAGATGGCTCTGGCCAACGTTGATACAAGCTGAGCTTGACAGCTTGAAGGACTGCTTCAACAATCATTGCATCAGAACGGATTGAGGCAAATATCTTCCAAGCGGAACATCTCCTAATATTGCCTTCGCTCTCTATCAGCAGTATGAAGGTGATTTTGGGCTGCAAATGGTTGACCACAATGTGATTGTGAAGCTCATGGAGGATATGGGGGGTGAGAACCTGATCAGGTTTGTACCTGTAGAGTATGCGGCAAAAGCACAACAAGTTTATGATAGTCTTGACCTTCCAAAGCTTACAATGAGTAACATTTGGGGCATATTTCAAGCCATATTGCCTTGTATGTAGCATGTAAAATTTATGTACATTTTGTCAAAATAATGAATGCTAGAAAAGCTACTCCCAAGGACAATGAGGATTGTTATGGGCAACAACTTTATCCTGTAATTTAGAGAGTTGTAATTGGCGGCAAACCTTGTTACAAGAATATTCTGTGCAGAACTTTTTTATCACTTCAATCCCCTGGTCCCATTCACCTGTGCAGCTTCCAATGCTATCATACAGTCAGCAACGTGTGTTGAGGAAATGAAGAAAACCACTTGCCTATGAGCCTGCGGATCAAATAGGATAATAGAGCGGTCGGGCCCAACCACACCTAAATCAGCAGTAAGCAAGACGGCAAGCGTTGAAAGAAATTGTAACAAAGATACCTTGTAAATCAGTGAACATGAGGTGTCCATTGGTCTCTTCAACAACATGGTGGGCAAAAGCATCTACTACTTTGCCAACGTAGTCACTATTATCTCCAGTATCTGTGTTGCCAGAAAACTTCCTTTTGGAGAAGAGACCCTTTGTCTGCAGAAGCGGTACAACCAGGAAAGTGTTGAACAGTAGGCTGCGGTTGGCTGCTTCCTGCTCAATGGTTTCATCATCAATCGGAAGACCAGACCCTGGAAGAGGCACTGTGACGGTCCCAACAAAGGCGCCTTCGGCATTATACTTAAGGTCTACAACAGTGATCAGGTGTGGCATGCAGGCGTGTTTTGGAAAAGGATCACCTGGAAGTTTTACATTTGCCACCAATGCACGGTTTTTGAAACTCTTTGCAAAAGTGTTTCCTTGAACGAGAAGATCAAGCTCATCATGCAGTGCTGTGGAGTTGAGGTTGTTCAAGGAGCCAGCTGGCTTGTGCATGAATAAAGCAACTTGGTTACCATTTAATCGCGCCTAGGAAGAGAGTGGTTGGATTTTAACACCTTTGAAAATGAGGTAGAACGCACCAAAATTCCATATTTATACAAACCTTTTGAGAGATAGCCCCCGTTAGGAACACCAGTCTTCACAAACTGGGTCCATCCTTTCGAAACCTCAATTTCATGAACGTCAGACAAATCTTCAAAGTGTGTGTCACCATTTGTAGAAACATGACATACAGTCTTCCGAAATGGAAATTTTTCATAAGTGATTGTGGTCATTGAGCGCAACATCCGGTTCCATTGACTGGTGTAGTTAATACTCGGACGGGATAATGATGGCATGGAGCTTTTGCTATGCTGAGAGCTTTGACCAGCATCATCATCTACCAAGAAAGAATAAAAACGCAATCAGACACTCAAAAAGACAAAACAGACCATCAGCAATGCTTAAGTGCTTTTGTTTTCGAGACATGTTGACACTGGCCTTTGAAGCTTTGAATAGGTGTTCTTGCTCATCCTATTAATGTATCAAGAGAGTAAGCGCAAATGACAATAGAACATACAATAGTGAATGGGACAATGAGCTGCAAGCAGAGCTTTCTTGCATCCTGATCAGCTTTTGACAGATGGCCACTGTTGACAAGCTTGGTAAAAAGTGAGTCCAGGTTTCCCTTGAAGGCAAGTCCTGTTTTATCAATCGAGTATGATTTCTTTCCGTGGATGGAGTTGAGCATACAACTTGAACTAGCAGATGATAAGTAGTGTGAAGTGAGCTTTGTTCAACTTGTACAACTTACAATGTGAAGTCATATGTTGCATTGTCAAACTGAAGGCAGTATGCGGACTGAAGAAAGTTGGTTTCAAGCTTTTGGGCAAGTTCAACTAACACAGCTTCAATTGGGTCTGTAGCTGGATAAACATCAGGGAAGGGAGCAAGTAGACACTAAATTGCAGGCGATATGATTCAGTGGTCAACCGGTAGGTGCTGGCGGCTCCCACCTTATAGTGCTTCCCCCTACCATCAATGAGCATCATTGACAACTCTACATGGATAACCTGGCCCTTATGCATGAGCTTGATGCGCGCCTTCTTCTCATTTATTGCAGCAGCTTTGGCAAGGTTTTGGTTTTGCTTCGAGTGAGGCTGGTTCACGCGGTGCTCAGATGCAGTTTTGCTGTGCGCATCTGCGCTAGCATTGATATGAGCTGTGACTGAAGCGTGCATCAGTATAACAAGTAATAAAAAGTACGATACACTTGCCTGCATAAGTGCTCTCCTCATCGAGTCCAAGGTGGGAGCATTTTCCACAATACATTCCTACTAAGAAAGGTGAATGGGCACTACAGTGGTGGCATGCTGGCTGACGCTGTCCAGAGAGGGGAAACTTGAGCAGGTGTTTCCGAGAAAATTTGAAAAAAAAAAACCTGGATGTCCTCGATCTCCATCTTTGTAAGGCCACCTTTGACCAATTTTTGACATTTTGAACAATTCTCACCATCATTGAGGCCAGAAAACTCTCCTAAGCACCCAGAGTAGGTGGGCATGTTTAGCAATGTCTACAGCGTAGACATTTTGCTTTGGACTTAAGTAAAAACTTTGCATTGCACACAGACGTAATTTAGAATTGAAAGGTGCCCCATCCGCCGATCAAAGACATGTAAGAGACTTGTCACAAAGAGGTGACGACAGTGGCAAGACTGAGCGGAGGCTTAGGCGGAAGTGGACAGATACTGATCCCAACGACAAAGTTATATTCATAATAAATACAGAGTAGTAAGCAAAGACATACCTGATCCCAACGACAAAGAGGTCAAGATGAGGGATCAGGCTGTGGGGGCTGGCTTATATATACAAAGGCGAGGTGCGGGAACGATGGTGTCATACTGTACAGTTCAGGAACAAGGAATGAAGCGGAATGGACTGGAAGGTTCCGGATCGATTGTGATAGGTAAAGTGATGGAATGATGTATTGTAAAGAAAGGGAAAATAATAGAGGTCGCTCACTTCATGACAAGACTCCTACAGAAGAAGACGCAGTCCAGTGCTACCTTCAGAGGCCTGTGCCAATCAGCTGCTACCCAGATATTTAGATGAATTGCTACTACTAAGGTCAGCTTCTGCATACCGCAACTAAGCAGCAACACACCTTTGTACACATAAATAGACTACCCTCTCCTAAGGTAGCAATGCAATGAGCAGAACACAGCAGGATGCTGGGGGGCCCCTTGAGCAGTGCAGGTTGGTATGTCTGGCGTGAGCTGGGAGCTGCGCAGCAAATGTGGGTGCCAGCGAGGAAGCAGAGCAATTGGTAATTTACGTGGAAGAGAGGCAATGAATATTCGGGCCTTGATCCAGTTGCCAGGGATGGTACAGCCCCATCGGCAAAGAATTTATTCAGGTCTTCTATTGGTAATTCAATTTTAGCTCCATACTTTTGATTTCTACCTGAGCCTGCTCGGGAACCGTAATGGCATGTACTTTTATAGGTATGTATTTAGTATCATTTTGGGGCTCTTTATAAGGATGTTGTGGTGTTGCATATATAGTTGAAAATTGTTGTGGAGCCTACATTATTTTATGCTTTGTAGATAGAGTTTCAGATTGATTAGCCCCCAGAGTTTTGTATTTTAGTAGGAATTTATCTTTGCCACCTGAACTATAAAATGGCAGAGGTACAAAGTCCAATGTTTCGTACTACAGGTGAGAACAATGAGGCAATGAGGTCTGAGGCCCATGATGAGATTTTCATTTTTGGGGGGTTCATCAGTTTTGGCTAGTAATGACAGTGGGATTTCAGGATAGTGCAAAAATTCATTAAACCTTCTGAAATGGCAATTGAAATAACTGATTTTGTACCAAATCTCCTTTTCACTGCGGGAAAATCAATCCCCGTGATGTTTTATCAAGAAAACTCTTAATTCAATCCCTGGTAGTATATCGGTTAGTACACGCGCCTGTCATAATGACTGAGCATCTGGCGCGCGAAAGCTGGGTTCGACTCCCAGCCAGGGAGTGAGTGGCAATTTTTTTTGACGCTACTTAAGCTCGCGAGAAAGCCTTTCCTACTAAATATACCATTGATTGGATAGTTTTCCCCTACGCCGAGTGTAGTAAAGATCACGTCCTTCAGAAATTATGCCCGACCCACTTGATTATGGTCATCAATGATATACAAAATATTCGTCTCTTGCTATAGCTACAACTTACATGTTGGTGGGTTCCCAGGTATGCATCCCAAAATTAATTCATTCGTGAATCCCTCATTGAATCTCTTGAAGCATCCGAGTTGTCGGGGGTCTCCAATTTTTCTGACCATTCCTAATGGGAAGCAAGTGTGTAAGATAACAATATTTTCTAAGACCAATCACCAAATTCAATAGCTCTGTGCGCTGATTTTTCAATGAGGAAATTCAAAAACATCTTGTTTCGCTCAACGGGTTTGGAATTCGCTCTCCTGAAATCCATCCGGCCCCGGAATGCAAGGAGCGTTACAACTCATGCCACGCTAATCAGACTGCCCTGGAATTTTGAAACAAACATATATAAAGACTTAGCTTATGCATACTTCGAGACAAGGCCGACCTGTACACTCAGCTTCTACCTTAAGAAATGTCCGGGTATTCTGATCCCTTCGAGTATTTGAAAGGAGTCACTTTAGTACGTCCACCTTTCCTCGGGCTTCAAAGTAGCCAATCGCGAAAGTCTATTGCTCCTAACTTGAATATTTGTTTTGCAATCAGATACTCGAGCCACAGTTACGCATCATCAAATCGAGAGGAGGCGCAGACGATGACATCTTTCAGGTCCCCCTCCATTGGCACGAAGACCATGATGAGATTATCACTGTCCTCGAGGGGAAGCTCAAAGTGACTCTTGGAGGAGAAACCAGAGTATACACACCCGAAAGCGGAGAGGCTTTTGTACCAAGAGGTGTCCCTCATGCTCTAGAAAGCTTCAAGGGAGTACCTTGTGTGGCTACTGAACGTACGAACCCGTCTGTCTGTATCTCATTCTTATTCTGTGCTCCCTCTCACTGATACATTTGCAAAGGAATTTGACACGAAAGAATTGTTCTTCCGAAACATATTATCGATACCGGGAAATTTGTCCTCAGGAGGTTTGGTGCCAGTGATGCAGGTACTCTATCACGGAGATGGGTATCCTGTGCTCCCAATTCATGTTGCTTGGCTGGAAAAAGCTGTGAGTACTACCAAGTCCAATTCGGACAGGAGATAAATTCACTTGCTTGCATTCACTGATCGGGTTTTCAGTTTGTCAGAATACTCGGCGGATATGTTGCTCCTCTGTTGGGTCATCAACTGAAATACAAGAGCTTAACGGAGGCACGGGCATGATGATCTTCACATTCTTCACGCGTCAATGTATTATGTTCATCTCTTTTGCAGGACTATTTATTAGTCACCTTTAACTTTGCTTGTGATACGTACCCAATCTTTCAGCAACGCGTATGATTTTAAGCAAGTACTCAAATTCGATCTCCATTTTCCAGGAAGTGGTGGGCGTTCGTTTTGGGCATTCGTTCGTGTACTTTTGCCTTCCGCTGGTAGACCGAATAATCCTCTCAGAAAAGGGAGATTTGGTTACAGAGAGCTACAACGATACAAAATGAGACGTTAAATAGTGCGTCGGCACGGACCATTCACCAATTTGCCCTCATAAACTAGCTGTTATCTTTTCCTATCTCTCCGCCGTTCGTAGTCTCTATCTCTGTTTCTGTCCCGTCTATCAGATTGCCTGGGACTAGCACTTCGTCTGTGCTGCCTATCAGGACTACGACTCCGTTTCCTGGAGTCTCTATCTCGCTCCTTCCGACGTGATTCACCAGATGGTAGTTCAAACACCATGCCATACCCGCCTCCTCTTCCTTCATGCCTGTCGTGATCATGGTCCTCATCGCGGTATCGCCTTGTTCGCACCAAATCTTCGCGCCCACCAAATCCGGATCCGAGTCCTCTCTTCTTGGAATTGCCAGGACCGCGTTGTATGTCGTTTGACCAGAAAGTATTCGCTTTTGCTACGGACTGTGAAAAGTCAACCCATATCCGTCGGTCGTCTACGAGAACGTTTTGCATTTTGAAGTAAGCCTGTTGTAGGATTGTTAGTGTTCAGTATTGCATGGCTGATTGACACTCGCCTGTTCTGCATCCTCCCTTTTATCGAATTCAATAAACGCATACTGCAAGCTATCGCCTGTCTTCTTGTCTCGGATAACCTGGCAACTCATGATCGTCCCGAACCTCGAAAAGATCAACTCTAGGTCCTCATCTCTTGTCACCGGATTGAGTTTACAAACGAACAACACGTTTTCCGGCGGACGGACGTTCGCAAAGGGGAGGTCCCCGACCATCTCCAGTGTAAGTGTGGAACTCCGAGCTGCAGCCTCTCTCCGAAGTCTCTCTTCTTCTTCCTCAGGTAAAGTAGACAAGGGGTCTTCATCTTCCCCGATACCGAAGAACGAGTTTGACCCGGCGTCTGGCGGTTTAGTGGGTGGATTCGATGGAATAAGCGGTTCTAGTCCTGGAGGATCAGGAAACGGATCATCGAGTATCACGACGTGTCGGATTCGCACGTCTTTCATCGGACGAAAATCTTTTCCAACAAAAACGTCGTTGAGTTTATCGAGGGTTTCGAGTCCTTCGACGACGTGTCCGAATACGGCGTGTACTCCGTCAAGGTAGTCTGTGTTATCTGCGAGGGTTACGAAGAACTGGCTTCCACAGCCGGTGAGAGTTCCATTTTCAGAGGCAGGAGCAACGGCCATGGATACGGTGCCTTTGATTTGGTGTTTGAGTTTGGGTAGGATTTCTGGAGTAAAGAAGCGAGGAACGGAATCTGTTTTCTGGGAACTGTTGTTTATGTAGGACCAAATGCATTCTCCTCCTGTGCCAGTTGCTGTTGGATCTCCAGTTTGAGCAAGGAAGTCTTTTTGAACTGTTGGATCGCAATTGAGAACATGTAATAGGATACCAGAGAACGAATCGCGTTACCATTGAAGAAAGCATTGAGATTATAGTAGTACACCTTGCACAGTTTGAGAAAGTTTTCGCATATCTTAGGACATAAGTCTGTTTCGAGGTCGATGACTAGGTCACCAAGAGAGGTTTCGAGCAGGACGGACATGGGCGTTAGGCGCTGGCGCTTGAGCCAGATTTGTGCAAGGCCGGCACGTGAACCAAAATCAAAGAAGGAGAAGGCGCTCGGGCCGGTTTAATAAACTCACAGCGAGACTGAACCTTACATACAAGTATCTTTTCCATTCAGTTTTGATAACTGAAAACCCAGTCAACCTGGCAGTAGTACATCGTGCAGGTGGTAAATAGGTATAGCTTTAAAAAAACTGCAAGTTGTGCCGTCCTGTTTCTTAAATGCTCGAGGCCTGCTTGAATAATGAAGACGGCATATATTGAGCGCTTATTTCTGATAAACTTCAAGTTTTATCATCTTCCAAAGAAACGATCAGCATGGCTCGAGGCGTTCGCGCGTCTTCCTCGTCTACGACTCCAGCTGTCCCAGAACTTCCCAAGGTTTCCTTCCAAAAGATTGACGACGAACTCACTTTGCCCACAACTGGTGTGGATGACCGTCAGGCAAGATCCTATGGCTGTACGTTTTCATAATCATCCCTTTTCTGCTCATTAAACTCGATATCTACTTCCAGATAATGATTTCTCTGATTTCGAACGTCCGGAACATTACATTCGACATATCGGTGACTAGTTTCCACTTCTACTTTTCGCGCTCTTGGCCAGGGCTGAAATTTAAATACGTTCAGAGCCACTGGAGGCTGAACTTGCCAGGCAGGTAGAGTATGATATGGATGAGCAAGGTGTGTCGTGTCCCTCTCATCGTAATAGTAAAGTACTCATCTCATATTCCCTTCAGACAAGGAATGGCTCGACAACCTAAATGCCGAAAGGCGCAAGGAGCAGATGGACAAGATATCCTATGAAACTTTCGAGATTATCATGGACCGGCTAGAAAAGGAGTGGTTCGACTTGGTGCGCTCTTACCTTTATTCTGTATTGTACTAATTATGTGCCAATTGTTGATCTGCTCGTAGACTAAGAATATACCCAAAGCAGACTTTGCAATGCCTTCCGAAGATTCTACGTGTGCTATCTGCGATGACTCTGAAGGCGAGAACAGTAACGCTATCGTGTTTTGTGATGGGTGTAACCTTCCTGTTCACCAAGGTACGGTGTGAGTGTTAGCATAAATCAATAGTTTCTAACGGATGAACCACCAGACTGCTATGGCGTTCCTTACATCCCCGAGGGCCAGTGGCTCTGTCGAAAGTGCACTGTGTCTCCAGAAAACCCTGTGGTACGTTTAATCATGTTCTCGGTTTCTTACTTCATATCGTCCAAAAAGTTGCTCACTAAACATTAAATCATTATAGTCTTGCATTTTATGTCCTAATGAAGGGGGCGCTTTCAAACAGACCGTGAACGGAGAATGGGTACATCTTCTTTGCGCTATATGGGTACCCGAAACGCGCGTAGCAAACGACGTGTTCATGGAACCTGTTATCGGTGTGGATAAGATATCTAAACAGAGGTGGAAACTGGTAAGTCCTTTCCAGACGCCCTCCTACGTCGAAGTACCTATTCATAGTTCTATTTTAGAAATGTAGCATCTGCGATATCCGAGAGGGCGCCTGTATCCAATGCGCTAAAACCTCTTGTTTTCTCGCTTTTCATCCCACATGTGCCCGAAACGAAAGGCTCCTTTTGCCTATGAAGAGTACCCAAGCCGAAAACGCCACTCTGACATGTTTTTGCGATAAACATCTTCCTGTAAGCCACCTTTCTTATACTTATCTTGTGGACCAGAATCCTTCACTCATGCCTGTGCCTCCCTAATTTTAGAAAGAACAGCAAGAAGCTCGCGAAGCAGCCCTAGCTGCGGACGCGGAGGAAGACGATGAAGACGAAAAGAATCATTCTTCTAAAGGATCGAAATCAGCGCGGGCCTACGCTAAAACCTATAAAC